TTATTAGCAACATTCCTTTAGTTTCAGCACAATCTGTAAATGTTTTCTTTTATTCATTTTTCTAGTTTATCTCAACTAATAATTATCAGGAAGTGTTAGCAGCTCTGTCTACTATAGTTTCTCAGCAAAAGCGACTAAAATTCGAAACAGTTCCGTCATCTGTGCATTAATGCGATGTTAACACTAAATTAACATTTCTTTGTGCAGCCGACATTCAAACATTCAGCAAGTTCAACAAACTTTATGCATAAGAAGCAATGAAGCGGCTAACCTTCGCTCTATGGCAGAATCGTAAGCAACCGCATCCCAAAGTTGGTGCAAAGCAGCAGAGCCCGCCGAATCCGCAGCCTCCGAAACCAAAACACTAAAACAATTTGCCGACATGACAGTATTGCTGCAAAAACAGCGAACAAAAAAAAAGAACTCATCTTGAAGTACTGGAGCAATTAAAAACAGGAAACAGAGGAATTCTGGCAACTTACAATTAATTAATTACTGCAAAACGCGAGTTGTCTTAGTCATCATAAATCTTTAGAAAACTACTCCCAAAGTACATAAAGTGTAGTTTCACCATTGATCCCGACACTGATACAAAACGATCAAAATGTTATATAAGATGAGCTGTCTACTAGATGTAATGTAAACTTTAGTAACCAACCTTGTTAGAATTTTAGAATTAAGAAGTAAAAAATTTAAAAAAATTTATAGAAAAAAGTGAGTAAAATATGTAATAAAATACTGCCAAAAATTAGAGGTTTAGAAACAGCTTAGTTGTTCTTCTCATCAGTTCTTCAATTCTACATTGTTACTCTTAACCGTAAGCAGTATATTCTAGAAAAACAAAAAGATTCTGAGCAAGAAAACCAAGAAAAGAAAAAAACTAATCGCATCAGTAACTTTGAACAGTGATGATTAGAAAACAAAATCACGATAACTTACTGCTTTACAAGGAAGTACAGCAGATAATATTAAGAACACTGTACAGATCGTTTTCGACATGTATACTCGACTCAGTAATGGATACTCGCTGAAACTGACACTGTAAAAGACTACAGAAATGACACTGTATATAAAAGGAAAAACATATTTCCGTTTACTGGTTTTATTATTTACCATTTTTCGTGCACTCATCTTTGCTGGAACAGAAACTCTTGAGTAGATAACAAGTGTTATTGCATTGATGTCCCCAAATAGATCACCGGTTAAGTGTCATTCGTAAAACGGTAGAAATGACCGTCATGTCCGAATCCCATTTATAATGTTTGTTGTCACATTCATGCCTTGACCAGTTTTTTTTAAGTGTGAAAGTGTTATGAATATAGGCAAATGAAAGACAACGGACAATAAACTGAAGAATAATAATTCAAAACTTTTTTTTTTTTT